TTGATAAACATACTTCAAAAACATATACTTATTAAATAGCATAGACTATGATATAAGTAGACGTACACTTTACTCAAAACAATCTCACGCCGCCTATAGTTTCATACCCCAAAAAATTATATGGATTAGCATATAAAAATATACATATACACATAAAGATATCTATCAAATAAAAGCAAACCTGTCCCTTCAATCCAAAGCCTTCACCAAGCTCTAAAAAAAGAGAAACTGATCATGATCGACTCTTCCTCTACACTTCTTCTGATCTCATCTTCTCATCACAACACTGAAACGTGAACAATAACTCCACCAATATCGAAAATGGTAACACCAACACTCTATCTTTCCTCTCTTCAACGACTAATAATCGTATTATTCCTCTTCCTTCCTTCTCATCTAGAGGGTTCGACTTCTTCTACTACTACTACTACTACTCAAGAAGCTCTCAACGAATCCTCAAGGCTTCTTGATCTCATTCTAAGAGACTACACTCTCAACTTCTTCAAGAACCAACGTTATTCAATCAAGACCGGTGTTCCACGGCGTGTTCATCTTCCCTCTAACTACTCCGACATAAAAATTGACGCCGTTAGGTTCCGGTGTGGGAGTCTCCGGCGATACGGAGCTCAAATCGAAGAGTTCCATATTGGCGTTGGAGCAATTCTTGAGCCGTGTGGTGAGCGTCTTTTGGTTGTGAGACAAAGCTTGGGATCAAACTGGTCCGATATATATTACAAAAACTATGATCTCTCTGGTTATAGACTCGTGTCTCCGGTTCTAGGGCTCTTAGCTTATAACGCGTTACATGACGTCGTTTTAGGGAATAACATGAGTAGCTCTTATCAGATAAGTCTCCTCCTAGCTGGTACTAATGATCCAACGACCGTTGATTTTGGGAACGTTTCTGGACCGTCGGTGGTAGAGAGAACGTTCTTGAATAAGCCAATGTGCGCTACTTTTGAGCTCGACGGAAAAGTAACGCTTGCCGGAGAAGTGAAGCCGTTTGTGTGCGCCGTTAAAACCAACGGACATTTTGGTTTAGTGGTAACGGATGATCCAAAATCGAATGGTGGAGGCGAAAAGAAGATGAAGAAGGAGAAGATCGGACGGTGGAGATCTGTTGTTGGAGGGCTTGTTGGGTCTGTGACGGTGGGGGTGGTGCTTTTAGGGCTGGTGGTGGCGGCCGCGGTGGTGGCGGCGAAGAAGAGGCGGAGAAGGGAGAAAAGGGAAGAAATTGAGAGAAAAGCTTATGAAGAAGAAGCTCTTAGAGTAGTGTCAATGGTGGGGCATTCTAGGGCTTTCGTTGCTTCTGCTACAAGGACTTCTCCGGGTTTCATGGAACATGAGTTTGTTCCTAATTAATTAATTATATTTACGTGTGATTTCGTTTTTGTGGGGGTTTTTTTTTTACGTATATTGCTATATTTATTTTTTCTTTTGTAAATAAGGTTTTAATTTATTTTAAGATATATGTTGTTGCCTGTTGGGAGTTTTGGGACATATAGATATATATTTCGTTGGTGACAAGTCACGTACGGTGATGAATTTATAAGGTAACACCGTTAGTAGTAACTAGTAAAGAAAATCAAATGAGCAAAAATGCATTCTAATTAAGTCATTGATAAACAATTAAACATGATCATTTTTTTTTTGTTGAAAAAATTAAACATGATCATTACCTACACGTTAATTAATGAGGCATAAAGAATTATAATTTGATGTAAGTATGCCGTCTTAAAAAAAAAAATTTGATGAAACGTCTTATGCTATTAATATCACAGACGCAAACAATTACGAACACATGTTTACTAGTGTTTGGGCTGTGAGACCTTAATGAAGTACCCAATGAGAATTACTTTTAGGTCCACCAAAGTCAAAATATTGTATGGCCCAAACATAAAACAAACTAAAACTGAGTATCGTGTCACTAATATTATCTCATTGTTGTTTGCTTTTGATTAGTGGTCGCATTATCATAAGTTGAGAAGTAGTTTTCATAGGAAAGGGGACCACAAATTGTTTCAGATGTGAGATGTCTTAAATCTTAGGCTTAAGAGAACGACAATTCTGTCCCTCTTTTCTTTGTTTCGACCAACTCTGTCTTTGTCTCTCTTTATTTTGTTTCTTTCATTTTTCTATATAACGAATATTTTTGATTTCATTGCGTAAAACAAAAGGGAGTTTGTAAACAACTACATAAAAAGGGAAGAAATAGAAATTAGTTTTTCCTTATTGGTTAGGCGTGTATCTTCTTCTCCTTTTCATTTCATTAAATGCAAAATCCTTTTTTTTATTTTTCTTTTTCCTTTATGTGTAACGGGTAAATCATGTTTACCATTGTGTGTATAATATATTTACTTCATATCAAACTATGAAAAATGTGTTTATAAATTGTGTTAATTTCCCAGCGCATAGCACCACATATATATTGCTTATTTTAGTTTCATTGATAATTTTTAAAAATAGATTAAAATTCGAAATCAGTTTGGTAGTATTCATATATTTATCGTTGCCTTGTCCAAATATATCACCAATCAGTCTCTTTCAATTACCTCAAGTAGTACATATCATAGTTTGTGTTGATGGTTCTCTCTTTCTAGTTAAAACAATAGCATCTAATTTTATTAAATAATTAATCAAATAAAACTCTAGAAATTAACAGTATCGATGCATAGGAATCTGCAAAATCCTTTTATTCCTCTTTCCCGAGTGAGTGATGGGCCAAAAAGAAATGAAAATAAAAGTGATTACCAAAAGAAAAAAATTGCGTTTTCTTTGGTAGGTCCGAAAGTAAGAGAAAACAATCTTTAATCTTTTCCCATTGACAAATTCTTTATCAAAATATATATTCCACTGAATCTGAATTTAAATACATGTCAAATGAACGTTCACATCAACAGCATATTAGATTACAGGTGCAATTTTTTTTTCTTTTACAGGTGCAAATTTAATTGAGAAATTCCTAAAAATAGTCCTAAACAAGTTTTATTGACAATAATAGCACACACTCCATAAACTTCCAAAAATAGCACTAGTTAACTTATTATTAGTGTTTTTGATCTAAAAATTTTATCACTAGTTTTTTTTTTCAATAATACCACAATTTTTATATAAAAGCTATTCAACAAAATAAATTAGAAATAAATTTAAAATATTATATTTGGGTTCTCTATTTCCCATTTAGGGTATATATTTCCACCATTTAAAAGAGATTTTGATTCATTTTAATATTAGTTTGTGGTATTATATTTGGGTTCTCTATTTCCAATTTAGGGTATATATTTCCACCATTTAAAAGAGATTTTTATTTTAATATTAGTTTGTGGTATTATATTTGGGTTCCCTATTTCCAAATTAGGGTATATATTTCCACTATTTAAAAACAATTTTGATTCAACTTAATATTAGATTAGTGTTTGCTCTCTTTTTTATTTTCTATCTTATATTTTCATTAAATTAAATTGAAGTTTATGGTGCTATTTGTGGAATTTTTCAGATGAGGTGCTATTTTGGAAAAAACAACTTTTTTGGGGCTATTTGTATCAATCTCCCAATTTAATTTGGTCTAAAATAAGGCTAGTAAGTCATGATACTCGTATACTGGAAAAAAATACCAAAATTATTTGAAACTTCACAATGGAAAGAGAACAATAATCCAATTTTAGTAGCCAATATTTCACATCTATGTGTAGTTTCCCGTTTATTGGAGAATAACATATTTTCGTTTTAGTTGCTCTCCAAAATTTTTATTAAAATAAAAAACTCTTAGTTTATTGCTTTATTAGGTATCTTTTTTTCCATTAGGTATCTTTTATCTCAAATCATACTCGATAAAACGAAATTAGAAAACTTTGTCAAAAATAAACGAAATTAGAAAATTGCTACTATGTTTGGTTCCACAATATGCTAATATACCTTGACGTAAAGCTATAGAAAAGTGCACATTAACAACGTGCTTTACAAAAATCATAAATACGTGTATATGTATAAAATGTAAAAAACAAAAAAAAAAACAAACACTTTTTTCTTCTCGTGACAGTGATTTAAGACCTAATAAGTGATTCAACAACTTGAACTTAAAAATTAGTTGAGATTTTTTTAAAAAGAATGAGGAAAAGAAAATATCTTCACACCTTTAACGACAGGACCGGTAGACACACCTAATCCTCTAACATCCACTTAACAAATAGTAACACCTAATTAATAATACTATTTAATTGAACAAATATGTAATTGTTTTTCCTTTTGATAAAGAACAAATATAATTATTTATTCATTTAAAATATTAAATAGTCTATTATGTGATACAGCTTTGATGCACCATTTCTTAGTCATATAACCTTTAAACAGTAAAACTCAGATAGTCTAGTTCTGAATTAAGCAAATTCATTTGCAGTATTATCTAGTATAATTTTTTCAGGTAACTTGGTTTTCCTAAATTAATTCAGATTAAATGTAAAGATAACAATCACGGGGATATAAAACAATCTACGTGCGTGTGTTTTTGTATTCATATTTCTGATAAAAAAATTAGTAATTCTAGTTTTGAGTCTTTTGATTACATGACAAAAACTATGTTTTTCTATATAATCTGATTTATAGAAAAATAATATCTTACGAAAGAAATATTAGTTAGCGTTTTTCAGAATGATTAAAACGTAAATCGAATTATGTTTCCGAATAATGGCGTTTGTCTCAGCTTTTTATATATTTAATTTTAATATAAGTGTATATATTATATTAGTTTCACTTAGAATTTAATATACATAGAAAATGATAAAAAAAAAAATAAAAAAAAAAATTTAAAAATGTATATGGTTGGCCGGACCAGTCCCGTGTATAATAAACATTGTTTTATTAAATGTATTTTGTATATAAATAAGACAAAATAATCTATAAACAAATAATGTATATTTTTAGGAAAAAAAGGAGTGTAAAACAATTAAAGTGGAAAGAAATCAGGACAGCTTTATATACGTTGATTTCATCTGATCATCTCTCTCTCTTTCTCTAATCATATGAACAAAATAATCGGCTTCAAGAATTAGGGTTTTGATCAGTCACAAAAACGTATCTCTTTCCGTAGTCTTCACTCAAGAATATGCAAGAAGCGGCGCTTGGTATGATCGGAGCCACCGTAGGCGGAGACGGAGACGCCGCGGCGGTGGCGGAGCAGAATAGACAGATGAAAGGTGAGATAGCGACACATCCGATGTATGAACAGTTATTAGCCGCACACGTGGCATGTCTAAGAGTAGCTACTCCGATAGATCAACTTCCGATCATTGAAGCTCAGCTTTCTCAATCTCATCATCTTCTTCGTTCTTACGCTTCCACCGCCGTTGGATACTCCCACCATGATCGCGAGCTCGATAATTTCTTGGTACGTTTGAATATAAATTAATTCGTTATATTTTTAAATTAATCTTGTTTAATTAAATTACGTACAATTAATTAAGTTCTGTTTCTTTGTTTTTATTTTGAAAGTTTTTTTTGATGATTTCTTGTGGACTAACTTTGAATGAAGTTATGATTACTAACCAATCTTTGTTGAGAAATTATGTTTCAAACAAATTATGCTTTTCAATGATTTCGTGGTTTACTTTTACAAGATCGTTGGGCAACAATTTATATAAATTTATAATTACTAATTAATCTTGTGGGCAATTATATTTCAAACAAATTATGTTTTTTCAATGATTTTAATTAGTGGTTCTTTTTTTTTCTTACCTGATTTTTGTAAAAGAAGTGATTTTTTTTCAACTTTCTTGGAAATTTACGTATCTTCATACAATTTCCAAATGTATTATACACACATAGACATTTTTATGCATATAGTTTTGTGTACATATAGTTAGGTGCTAAATTCACATAGAGTGAGTCAATGCTAAATATCATTTTGTAACGAAATTGGAATTCTATTTAAACTTTGAATATATACTCATGTTGGTTGAAGTCGGCGATTGATTTTCTACTCCAAACTAAAATTTGCAAATGCATTTAAGTCGAATTGATATTGCAACTATAATTTTGGAATTAGCTTGCGAATGTGCCAAAAAGAGATTCGGCTTCATTTATATTTACAGTATAACCTCTATAAATTAATACTCTATAAATTAATAACCTCTCTAAATTAATAAATTCTTCCGGTCCCAGGTTGGGACCAGTGTAAAATATGATATAAATCGATAAATTAATAAGATAATAATTTTTTTGAAAATCTTATATAAACATATGGTCCCATCTATGTCATAAATTAATAATTGTATAAAATTATAAATATATATATATATATATGTATATGTATATTTAATTTAATATATATATATATGTTATATAAATTTCTATATGTCATATATGAATTACTATGATATATATTTAAAATATTATATGTAGAAAATTAAATGAAATATGACTCTATTATTCGAAAAAAAGTTTGTGTTGTTTTTTTAAATTTAATAATTGCTTCTGTACTTGTAATTAGTTTTTTTAAAAATTGCTTATAAAGAAAAAATTTACTTTTAGATAGAATTTTTTTAAGAAATTATAAAATTAGTAAAATCTCTCTATAAATTAATAATTATTAATTTATCGATAAATTAATACCTCTCTAAATTAATAAAATTTCTTGGTCCCAACATTATTAATTTATAGAGGTTTTACTGTATTTAAATTAGGTAGAAACTAGGACTATACAATGATCTAACCGCTCAAAACACACCACACCAGAAGCACATATTTATATGCTTGTATACATATATGTGGAAATGTTTATTAAATTTAAATGAATTGTATATATAATTACATGAGATGTGAGGATAAAAAATAAAATAATAATTATTGTTATTAATTGGAAGCAGGCACAATATATAATGGTGTTGTGTAGCTTCAAAGAACAGCTGCAACAGCACGTGAGGGTTCATGCCGTCGAAGCTGTTATGGCTTGCCGTGAAATTGAGAACAATCTTCATTCTCTTACAGGTTCTTTTCTTTTCTACTATTTATTTGTATTTTTTAAAACCCAATTAAAACCATATCTTCATGATAATTAATGTTACTATATACGTCACATAACTATAGAATTAGAAAGTAGAAGATATAATTAAAAATTAGCGATATTTAAAACAAATAATAGAGTTAGGTATCTAAAGGTTCTTGCTGATCATACCAGATATGAACAATTTGTAAACATATATATTAAATTTAGTGTGTTGGGAGATGATGATGAAGAATATATTATATGCTCACACAATAAGATTAAAAAAAGGAAAAGATATAGAGATTCTATTTGTGCTTATATTATATGATTGCTAAAGATGAAATTTCCATTTTTGCATTGATATCCACATAACCATCCGCAGTGGTGTAAGTGTGAGGGAGGGGTGTAAGATTTTTTTTATTATTATAATTTAAAGTGAGAGAGAAAAGAGAGAGAGAAAGAAAGAGAAAGAGAGATATAGAGTGTCTTACACCCGAGTGTAAACTTACACCCGGGTGTGAAGAGAGAGACAACTTTTACATTATTTCTGTATTTTAAAATAGATACACCCCACGCAAGGATACACCACTGCGGATGCTCTAAAGCGAGTGCTACTAGATTGATTGGATTATTGTACCTTGTAAGCGTAAGGCCTATTACGCTTGAGCCTAAGTTTGGGCTTGGGCTTGACGTCTAAGTCTTGTAGTTGGAGTAACATTTCGTTTAAAACTCTCTATTCTGGTAGGAGCAACGTTAGGAGAAGGGTCAGGTGCGACTATGTCGGAGGATGAGGATGATATTCAGATGGACTTCTCGTCTGATAATTCCGGCGTTGATTTTAGCGGCGGCCACGATATGACGGGATTTGGTCCGTTGCTACCGACTGAATCGGAAAGATCTCTTATGGAAAGAGTCAGACAAGAACTTAAACTCGAACTCAAACAGGTAAACTAAAATGTTATGAGTCACAAAAATACTACGTTTATGTTACTTTTTTTTTTTTGGTAATGACATTTGTTTATTTTTCGGATAAGGGTTTTAAATCAAGAATTGAAGATGTAAGAGAAGAAATAATGAGGAAAAGAAGGGCTGGGAAATTGCCAGGAGACACAACTACTGTCTTGAAAAATTGGTGGCAACAACATTGCAAGTGGCCTTACCCTACTGTGAGTACCTTCGTTTTATATTTTATGAAGCATCATATATATAGGTCTAATTATATATTTGCGCTCACATTTTCATGAAATTATAATAGTCTAATCACTACAACATGAAACACCAAATGCAGAAGCAAATGTAAACGCAAAGAAACAATCAAGAACCATTTAGGTCTACGCTCAATATATGCATTTTTTTGGTTTTGTTTTCCTTCTTAAAATGCTTAAATGCATCAAAACATTCATAGGAAGAAAGTAAATAGAGATTGAGAATTACAATGTGATTAACAACAGCAAATTTATAATGTAAATTTTTTTTTGATTTGAACAGGAAGATGACAAGGCAAAATTGGTGGAGGAGACAGGATTGCAGTTGAAGCAAATCAACAATTGGTTCATTAACCAACGCAAGAGGAATTGGCACAACAACTCTCACTCCCTCACTTCCTTGAAGTCCAAGCGCAAACACTAATCTCTTCTTACTATCACTACAAGAATATTGGCCTTCTGTAACGTCCGAATAACGCTGTCTAATGATATTATAGCGTTTTAAGAAGCGCTCTATCATCGCCCGTCATAGTAGGTCCGCTACTTTCGGTAGCGGTTTTTAGCATTGCTATCGTATCTTCGTCAAATATAGCGTTTTCTTTTATGCCATTGTTTATTTTACAATAGCAATTATACTTTGTTATTAATTGTTTTATTCAGCTATTATATATGTAACAAATCCTGTAATTGTGCCCTGGGTTTTTTTTTTTTTTGGATTATTTAACAAATTAAAAAAGAAAATGACATATTTTATTATATTTATATGAAACCATGATACAAAAGATCTATATTACAAAGTAAAAGCACAAATTAAAAGATAATTTCATACAACTCTTGTATTACAACTTGTGAATTCTTCACTCTTGGACCTCCAATCTTTGAAAATTCTTCTCCAACCTTGTTAGCTATTGAAGCAAATCGAAATTGGAAAGTGAAACGAGTAAAGCGAGCTTACGAGAGGTTGTCGAGACATGTAGGCCTGATGAGACGGCCAATCGAAGGTTGTTGTCTACACCTCACCCAGGAATCTCATGACACAAGACTGCGTTTTCCTTCATGGCTCGGATACATACTTATACGCACCTAAGGTTCACCAAAATCAATCAAATCATTAGGGTACCTACTTCGCAACAACAGATCTGTAGTAGAAACATCAATTGAACAGCAAAAGAGATGCTAAATCGATTCAATAAAACGAGAGAATGGATCGATTGATTGAAATTCACAGATCTGGAGGAATCGAAGTAACAAGAGGAAGAATCAGAGGAACACGAGGGCTATGGTGGCTAGGGTTTGATTTCGCAACGGAGAGTAAAAGGGAGAGAAACGACATGACTTGAGGATCTAATTACGCTCGTTTCTTCTTGTGATTACGGAAGAAAGCGGAACTAGGGTTTTGTTCTGTTGAGAAAAGGAAGATGATTCATCTCGTTTTGAATCGAACTTAAGGATTTCGTCGGAGGAGAAGCTTGATTCTGAATTTGGCGAATTGGTGACAGAAGAGCAAGGGATTTGGAGATAGTCAGAGTCAGAGATATTGAGAAAAAAGCTTGGGAAGTGAAACTATGGAGTGAGAGGGATAATAAAAACTTATTAGCCGCATTTTTTTTTTAACTTAGTACTTAGGAGGGAAATAAATTATTTTATCTATTTCAACAATGAACAGCGTTCCGAAACGTACTATTGCAATCTATTCTACAATTCTAGAAAGAGTTTTCAAAATTAAGATCTGATTAACTAAACATAGCGTTTGCAAAAGTACAAACGCTATCTAAAATTGAGGGATGCGTCAACCATAGCAAAAAGACATTAAACGCTATATTATATTGCTATCAATACTCCAGTTTCTTGTAGTGTATATTAGTTAATTTTCATACTAATTACATGGCTTAAATCATGCATGATATATATGTAATTCATGTTGTTGATAAAAACGAGGTGTGATCATTAATATCTTGTACTTACTTAGCTTATCAAATCTCCCTCAACCCCCATATGATTTGTGCTTTGAATGATTACTGTTTGTTACTAGATTGTAATTCATTTTTTTTTGTTTTTTATTGTGCATTCAAATATTTTTTTTTGGTAAGAATTGAACACCGATTTTGTAACGTGTTTTCCGTGGTTGACTAGACCATCATTTGGAAATATAAAGTAATGATGCCGACAAAAAAAAAAGGCAATGTTTTCATTATTTATAAAATATATGCCATATCATATATATCTTTGGACCGATATATGAAAGAAATCGTCCATAAAAATGGAATTAGAATCATTCCAGTTTAGATTATTGGTATTCAAATTCTCAAAAACTTATTAAAGGATAGTTTTCTAGTTCTTTGTTTGATACTAAGATTTGTGTAACTTAATATTTTCAAACATAATTATACCGAGAAATAGATATGTGGTATTCATTAAAAAAAATAACTCTCGAGATTGACAACTTGGATCTTAGAAAAGTCACTACATGCCGCCATCATTTGTCCACTACGATTCAGACAGAAGATCCGATCTGTTTTATATATAAAAGTAATACATTACTTTATGCTAAACCCCAATTGCAATTTGATTCTCATAGTCTCATACTATTAACATCAAACTACTAATTAATTTGACAAAAAAGTTGTACTGACTAGTTAATTAAATGAATGCAGGTGACATATTATTTTCGATAACGTGTACATTAGGAGTTTTACATGCTTAATATATCAAATGTTGTATAGATCTAGATCTTTGGTTAAACCCTCATTAGTTTCGATGTCAAATCAATTACAATATATATAGAAACTTTGCAATTACAAATTATAGTACCAAAGATCGGTCGAACTATGTATATTTGATTATATGAATATGATATAATCACATTTGTTAGTTGATATGTATCTGTATATTTATTGAAATGATACTATGTTTAAAGAGTCGCCAATTCGTTGCCGGAGTCTTTTGCTTTGTTAGCGCTTTGATCTCCTATGATTTGGATGCTTAATATAATGAATGCATTTAAAAATTAGTCGAATAATTATGAATTGTAAATTCAAACGAGTAACGTGTTTTTAAGTTTGTTTTTTTTCTTTGAACTTCTTGATTTTTCACTATTAAAAAATAGTAGGAGTAGTTGACTAGAAAAATGGTGGTAAAGAAAAACGATATTCTTAAATTAAAATCGCAACGAATATTACATTTTATAAATTCAGACATCCAATGAAATGGAATCTCCTTTGTGTTAATTAATAATTTCTCACGCCACCGCTTTCACAGATCTCTGTCTAAATTTCAGACAACAATAAACTATTTTTAAACACAAACGCACTACTAAACACAATAATTCAAGATTAGAAAAACTATCTCTAAGGCCCTTATATTTACCAAGGAATAGAGATAACACCCCAATAAATTAGGGTCCGATAACTAGAAATCCAAAATCTCTATCAACGTACGAAAGATATTTTTGGTATGATATGATCTATGAGAACTACGAAAGATATTTTTCCAAAATTTATATGATACATATGGGTGGGATGAAGTTTATAATGAAGTTTTAAAAATAGAAAATTATTTATGGATTTTTACATATATATGTCCGTTGGCTACGACATCCCAACAAAATTTTGTATATAAACAATGTGTTATTTTTTTTTCTTGACATCATAAAAAAATGTGTTATCAATTTCTAAAAATGATGGATATAGACTTGCTATATATTTATATCCATAATAGTAACATGGTATCTTAATAAATTGAAATAATTTATGTTATTTCTAATATTAATTTTTCTCAATAGATATTCAAAACTTTGATTTATTTCGTGGAAATTTCATTGAAGAAAATATAATAATAAATTTTTGTCAAAACATATTATGTTATAAAAATGTTTTCTTATAATATATTAGTAACATTTTACTATTAAATAATCTTTTTATCCAACATATATATAACTATCTTCTATTATATATATAGAATTTAATAATATAACGGGCTTTTTCCGTCAAATATGATTTTTATTAAGCTGAAAAAGAGTCAATACATAAATATTCTCCCATCCAAAATGGAGGGTTCTCATAATAAGAATAGTAAAAATTACAACCAAATTTTGCTAGATTATGTGCTACTTTTTTGCAATCTATTCGAGTATGAGAGAAACAAATAAGTAAAAAAATAACGGGATAACTTGTTTTATGTAAAAAAAAAAAGATATTTTCTAAAATTCAATACCAAAATTTATCATTTCTCCAATGATCTATAAATGCTATGTTACAACTTTACCCTATGTTTTGCTTTATTTTTGGTAATTTCACCTAAAATTAACAATTTCCTAAAATGTTCAAAAAAAAAAAAAAAACTCTATGGGTCACAAATCTCAAATAAGAAAACATGGGGGGTTAAAAGTGAAAAACTAAAAAGATTATCGTTTCCCCGAAAAATTGGGATAAAAAGAAGCAACACCGATCACAACGTCTCTCTATATCTCCTTCAGATCCACTCACTCTCTCTCTTTTATCTCCGGCGAAAATTTTCCGATCACCGACAAAAAAAAATGGTTGCAGACGCAAACGGATCATCAACCTCCTTCAACTTCCTAATCTACGGTCGAACCGGATGGATCGGTGGTTTACTCGGTAAACTCTGCGAATCTCAAGGAATCTCTTACACTTACGGCTCCGGTCGTCTTCAAGATCGTCAATCAATCATCGCCGACATCGAATCTGTGAAACCTAGCCACGTGTTCAACGCCGCTGGAGTCACCGGTCGTCCTAATGTTGATTGGTGCGAATCTCACAAAGTTGAGACTATTCGTACTAATGTCGCCGGAACCCTAACTCTCGCCGACATTTGCAGAGAGAAAGGACTTGTTCTGATCAATTACGCTACTGGTTGTATATTTGAGTATGATTCGGGTCATCCTCTCGGGTCGGGTATTGGATTCAAGGAGGAGGATACTCCTAATTTCACCGGATCTTTCTACTCTAAAACCAAAGCTATGGTGAGTGATTTTTTACATTTTCAGTCCCTTTATTTATGAATTACTTCAGATTTGATCCGTCTCTTTAGTTTCTTCTCTGATTCAACCCCAAAATCTAGCTGATTTGTGTGAATTTTAGCTCTGAAAATGTTTCAGATGAATGTTGATTAGATTCGTTGTTTATAGTTTGATCCCTTTATGTAGGACATTATTCAGATTTAGCTAATTAAGTTTCGATTCGTGTTGATTTGGCTTCAATACTTGTGATTGCTTAGATCTTAGATGTTAAATTAGCTCTAAGAATGTTTCAGATGAAATGTAATCATTATTGTCGTAAGCTCGTTTTATTGAATGTTGGAATCTTGTTTTGATCTTGGTAAAATCCCTAAGGTGGAGGAGCTGCTCAAGAACTATGAAAATGTATGCACGCTAAGAGTGCGAATGCCGATTTCTTCGGATCTAACAAACCCGAGAAACTTCATCACGAAGATTGCTCGGTATGAGAAAGTTGTGGATATCCCAAACTCGATGACTATTCTCGATGAGCTTCTCCCGATATCAATCGAAATGGCAAAGAGGAACTTAACCGGGATCTACAATTTCACTAACCCGGGGGTTGTGAGCCATAACGAGATCTTGGAGATGTACAGAGACTACATTGACCCGAGTTTTACTTGGAAGAACTTCACATTGGAGGAACAAGCTAAAGTGATTGTGGCTCCAAGGAGTAACAATGAGCTCGATGCGACTAAGTTGAAGACTGAGTTCCCTGAGTTGATGTCTATCAAAGAGTCTCTGATCAAGTTCGTGTTTGAGCCGAACAAGAAGACTGAAGTTAAAGCTTGAAATGCTGAAAAAGTTTTTGTAAGGTAAACGGTTCTAAACCCCAAGAAAACAAATCAAATGAAAAACAAAGTTTGGGATTTTAAAAGTTTTTTGGGGTTTATGGGCTGAAAAAATTGTTGTGTTTTTTGTAATTTCTTATTTTTGTTTTCTTCTTCTTCCCAATGTTGTTGTATTGTTAAAAATAAACTTTTTATTACAAATAAAAATGTACTATTTTGCATTATTTCATCCATTGATTCCAGTTGTGATTTGCATAATTAAATTGGTGGTTGAGTAATAATAAATAAAATCTTTTCAGTTTAACTATGTATTTCCTCTATTTCAAAATGTAAGATTTTTTGGATATATTTAAACAAATTATTGCTTAAACAAAAACACCATTCAAAAACAAAAATCAGTTAGTATTTTTTTTTAAAAAAAAGAATACTAATGGCCACGTTGAGATTTCGGTCATCACTTATCATATATGAATTCAAATTGATCTTTGCTTTAAAATTTCTCTGACTAGATATTTTTTAATATTATGAAACTAAATAAAAAAAATATAATCATGGTTGAAAATACTAATCAGCAATATAAAATAGAATCAAAATTCAAAAGTAAAACGTTGTAAGGGCATAATAACAACGAAACCCACATGTCCCAAACACATCACATTCTCCAATTTTGATTTTTGTTTTGCACCAAAATTGTGACTAATTCAACCCCCCACATAATTACATTCCTAGCTTTGTTATAAACACGAAAAAAATGAAGGCAAAACCTTCTGTTTTTCCTGTTTCAAAAATTGATATTTTAGATTTTTTTTGTTCCATAAAGATTGATTTTAAAATGTTTTATGCATGTAAAAATTCTAATAAGTTAATATGGATCGGAACATAAGTATAATAAACATGTGGAAAATTGCCAGAGGTTGCAGCCTTGGCTTAAAACACCAAAATTGAGGACCATTCCATTAATCAGACCAATTGATTTTGTTGGAATCTCCTTGAAATATCACTTTTTTATGGCCTTTGCACCACTCACATCGTTATTATAATAGCCTGAGATTCACCTTCCAAAGCCGAAGAACAGAGTAATGTGTTTGGATATTATCATGCAATGTGAATATACACCATGTCAGTTTATAACTTAAAAATCAAATTACACATTATCTATACAAAAACTTCTTATAAGAAATTTCTTAGTCTCAAAATACGAGACAAGAGAAACGAATGTAATGAAAATGATAAGAAATAGAGGATTAATTTACTTATAGGAAACATCCGAGTTTTATTCCATTTCTTGTTCAAGATTTCTGTATTAGTTTAAGGCCAAATGATATAAATATATCTACGGTTATACGTTTTTTTTCTCGAACATAACATTGTACTCTAACTCAGATCTAGATAGACCAACACAATTTGTTCTTTTCAATCGAATTAATTATTGTAAAAAATATTACAAATCATGTTAAAAGAAGAAGAAGAGTGTACGTATATACCTTTTATTTCTTCTCTCTTTCATGTGTTTAATTAAGCTGAACCAGTTTCAGGGCAACTCTCCTTTGGCAGGTCAGATATAAATCGATCATCCGAAAGTTTCGATATTCATATATGTATGTGTATATTTGGAAGTAAAGGACCTGCCAATGGAGAGGCGCCCTAAAACTAGTGAGCTTACATATTTCTCTACATCTCTATAAGATCCATCAAGTCGTGTGTGTATTTATATATGTGTTACTATGCGTGTGAGAACATATTACATATACATAAGGAATTTTCGACAAGGAATATTAGATTTTTCCATGATGTCTCTTCATAATGCTGGACATCTAATTTTTGCAGCTTTTTTTTATCTGAACACATGAGGTGAGAATAAATTTCTTATAAAAAAAGATATGAAAGTTGAAAAAATGGTAATTAAGGTGCAATGAATCCGAGTTTTAGTTTGATTTAAAGTTTTAGTTATTCGGTCTAATTTGATACAATTTTAACTTCAGTTCAGATTCTGTTTTTGGCCAAATTTGTCTTAAATAACTTGTTACAAAAAAAGGTAAAATCGATGCTTTTTTATTGTTTAGTTTGGTTTCATTTTTATTGTATATATATATATATATATAATTCTAAAATTGGTTTATATTTTTCATTTTGTTTCGTACAACTAAATTGGTACGTTAGAAATAATTAAGATTCAGTTCCAAAGTGTTAAGAAATTATTTATTCTCTCTACTCTAAAAGTTTTGTAAAATATGTGCCATATAGACCGATAGCATATGCCGTTGGATATTCTCTAGTTGTGCCTTTAAAAGAACAAGAATAGCTTCCCAGTCCAAAATAAAACTATTTCTGGAAATGAAAAACAAATTAATTCGAACATTTATCTTGTTACTTTATAGAGTCTAAATTCATTTTTTTTGCTATAACTGTTAATATCATATAAATGAAACTGTTTGGCTATTACAAGAAAAGCCTTTGACATTGAATTCTTGGCAAAAAGAATAAAAACAAGAAATTCAATATAAAGAACACACAAGAGAGTGCGGTCATGATAACCAGAGCTGCATCAAGGAGCGAAACTGCTTGCGGTGACGTTTTGCGGTGATGATGTTTCTGATCTCTTTGTGAAGCTGCTTGAAAACAGTTGCCGTCGGGATTGATTGCTGGTTATGAACGACATTGTTACGCTGTTTCCAAATATGATAGATAGTAGCTTGAGCTGTGATTCTTCTAAGAATAGTAGGGGCTGTCGCAGAGGAAGATCGAGTCCAAGAAAGCAGCTCCTGCCACGAAAGGAACAACGGCCTGCTCGGGTCAATTTGCGCAAAGACTTGTAACCAAATTGAAGCCGAGTAGCTGCAGTTTAGAAACAAGTGATCTCTAGATTCAATATCCACAGAGCAAAAGGTACATGCCGAAGAAGAGGCGACACCCCAAGAGAAGAGCCGCTGCTTAGTGGGAAGTCTATCAAGGTTAGAAACCCACATGTTGAAAGCGTGCCTGGGGACTGCCCCTTTAAACCAGACCACAGACCACCAATCAGTCTCTTCCTTCCTTGGTCTCAGAACATTCCAAGTCGCAGAAGAAGAGAAACCTTTACACTTATTGCCTTCAACCACCCAAGAGTACTCATCTTGAACTGCATCGGAAAGAGGTACTTGAATAGTTGTAAGATGGGCATGGAGCTGAAGAGCTTCCTCCGATCGCGGGGAAGGGAGAGTCCAGCAGGTCGAGTTGCACGCGTCTTTAACCTTAGCAGCACTTGGCAGCCTGAGAAGGCTTGGTCCCTCCTGACCAAGATAATTTAACAAAGGTCCCAAAGGAGTCCAGGAATCATACCAGAAACTGACCAATGAGCCATTTCCAACATCAGCCTTAATGAACCTCTGAGCCAAAACTCTCAGCCTAAGGATGGCTTTCCAAGTCCAAGAGTCCCTTGGCTTCTCTTTTAACTCCCAAAAACTGCTTGTTTTTATGTTGTGATACCTGTGCCAAAGAGCCCATAGAGAACCAGAACCAGAGAACAACAACCAGACAAAACGAAGGCATAAAGTAGAATTCCATACAGTGAGTCTCCTCAGCCCTAACCCACCTTCCTTTCTTGGCAGACAAACAGAGGCCCACGATACCTTGGCACCTTTGCTACCATCAATGTTACCTGCCCAAAGAAAGCGAGAACAGAGAGACTCGATTTTTTTCAAGCAACCTTTTGGAAGCATAAACGTTGAAATCCAAAAGTTGACAGACCCAAAAATCACAGAAGAGATCAATTGCGTTCTTCCAGCAAAAGAAAGGGCCTTGACAGCCCAGCTTCTAAATTTTCCAGTAATCTGGTGTAACAGCGGCTCATACTCGGAAATACGCAGCTTTCTGTGCATCAGTGGTAGCCCAAGGTAACGGATTGGCAATGAAGCAACCGGAAATCCATGTCTGGCAATCGCAGCAGTTTGTATATCATTAAGGCCTGCGTGGAAGAGATGAGTTTTTTCTCTATTCATAAGCAGTCCAGACCAAGAGGCGAAGTCATCCAGAGCCTCATTAATCCCGTGTAGTGAAGCTTCGGTTCCATCGAAAAATATCATTACATCATCCGCGAACATCAAGTGCGAAAGAGATATACCTGATGTTTTAGGATGATAGCTGATGTACCCTTGATCAAATCTGGATTGAAGCAACCTTGTAAAAACCTCCATAGCTAAAACAAAGAGATAAGGAGACAAGGGGTCACCTTGCCGCAATCCTTTAGAGCTCTTGAAATAGCCACTGGAATTACCATTTAGACACACTGAGAATGTAGGTGTAGTTATACACTCTGAAATCCAGGCTACAAACTTCTCTGGGATTCTTAAAGCACGAAGAGCCGAGATAATGAAGTCCCAGTTGAGTATCAATTGAGTATAATAAAAAAAAAACAAATAAATAAAAAAGAATCAATATACATTTTACCAATAAAGACAAAGCCATGGTCCATGAAGCCAACGATTAAAAATATTCACATAATTTTATAGATAACGCAATTTAGCAAGGACTTGTTTTTTCAATTTCTTTTTTGGTATGAACAAGCAAGGATTTGTTTTCTTAAATGGTACAATATTTTGTCATACTTCATATTAGATGAAAATAATTTATGGGTATGCCACTCTATACTTTGAGGTTCAAATTATCTGGCTGGCTGACAACTTGGCTCCTATTTCTAGAACCCGTCTTATTTCTTTCTCTTATGTTGGTGTTTCTGTTCCAAGCTGCCAATCTCTAGTTTGAATAATATAAACTAGTTGATGTTTAATGTATATAAAATTAAGAAAATATTACTATAGTCCATATTTCTATATATTATAAATTATTTTTGATTATTTTGTTTTATATAGTTTTATGTTTTCTGAACGATGGGAATATGTATTATTTTTATTTTATTTTTTAAAATTTTTTAATACAGTTTTATGTTTTCTGAACAATGGGAATATGGACTATAGTAGATGATTATTTCTATGTGTGCAATCCAAAAGATGTTGATGTTATGATGTACGATGAGAAAATTTAGAAACTTTTTAAAAATTCTAGTTTTCTTTTGTAATTTTAAAAGATAAAAACCAAACAATCTAGGGTTTTTGATGTTGATGTACGATGGAGATGTTAGATTTGTTCCTTGTCTCGATAATGGTGTTTGGGAGGTTATATTAATTGGTTACGGCTAGGGTTTTTCATGGCTAATGAGTTTCGTTATATTCATAAGAAAAACGAGTTGTTGATAATCCTATATTATTTAGTATTCTAAATTCTAATTGATTAAAATTATTACTTTTAGCATGTGAATGAATGTCATCTCTCTTTTTTCATGTCCCTGTTCACCATTCACATTTGACAAAAGATGTTGCGGAGTGGGCGTGGGCCAAACGAAAGGTATCCTGTAGGATGAACTCCCACAATCATATACATCACCGTGAGGGAGACATACACATAACCAACGATGACTGTGTTATACCTTCCGAGTAAAACATTATTTTCTAAAGGACCATAGTAGATGTCATCACTTTTGACAAATAACTGTGAGTATACAATAAGATCCGCACCAAATGGGCGAAGTGGAAGATAACTCAAAGCCGTATCGAGATCATCAATTGGCACCACAGATATGATCCTTTCACCTAAGTTAGAGGAAGGGATAAGAAGTATTTTCATTAGGGATTAAAATCCAACCAAGATAAATATATATAGTTGGAAATAAGTGTTAAACTTCTTAATACTTATCATTTTGATCTGAGTAATCCAATAGACTATTGATATCCATTTATTTGGGATGATTAAAATCATGTCCTCACTATATATAATTAGTTGGAAATAAGCTATAAACTTGTAGATATATCATTTTTACTATTGTTCAAATGGAAATCGCAAGATACATAGCAAATAAGACTTTAAATATTTAAATTAAAATGTCCCAACAAAACATATAAAAATTGTTGTGAGCTCCTCTGACTTTCCATGTGATGATATGTGTCACTAACATTTAATTTTGGTATGATTTAAGGTTTTGGTTAATCATAGATGGTGAAACAATTGAATATGGTAGTCTTGGTCTAGTGGTATACATGAGATTAAACTATCTAATTTATTTATGTGTACAATAAATGGATGTGTGTACTAACTGATACTAAAAGCAAGTAACAAATAAAAACTTAGAAATTTATATGAGAATTATAGAATATAGTTAGAGATGGAGCAACAACATCAAGAACCAGAACTGAGACATCAACAAGAACAAAAAGCTAAACCGAGATCAAACAAAATTTATCACAATAATTCAGATAAATTGGGTAGAAATCAAAATACAAAATTTATTACAATAATTCAGAAAACAAATCTCACAAAACTGGAACAATTGGAGGATTTGCTATTCCCGGTATATATACTGATCAGTATACATACGATATGTATAAAAAAAACACATATACACCCATAGGAATTAGAACATTGGTGACAACAACAAAAATAATTAAATCAAAGAGAGAGATACACACTGTTTTATTCTATTATGTAAAATTGGTAGCAAAACTCCAAAATCAATAGAGAGAGTTATAAGTACAACAAGTAGCAACAATGGAGCCAATGCAGATGACAAGTGATGGTAGAAGAGTGGCATTCAGGAGATGGCCTCTTCCCAAGTATCCTCCCAATGTTATGGTTGCATCTGCCACAACACGAGCCAACGTTCCAGCTTCTGTTGAGAGCAATCCTCCGTTGTACGTTCCTTTTGATAGCCTTGATGACATTACCCGCGATAACAACGATAGATTCACACCTAAAGAAACCAAAAAAGTTATTAGAAGTCGGTTGTCCTTTTAAAACAGAAAGCAGAGGTCTGTATAATTATACCTTCGAGTACTTCAGCAGCAACAAACATTATGAGACCAGAGATTACATATTGAGGTACAGTGTATGGAACAAACAAGTTGAAACTGAAGAGAATCCCGAGGAAGACGATGATCTCAGATGTTAGAAGGATTTGCCTATGAGAGAGACAAATTATAACTCAGTCACAAAAAACCATCAGTGTAATGGACTAGATGTGAAAAGATTCAAGCTTTATATCGATTCAAAGAGTACCTGTCTTCAAACATATTACTGATGTAACTTCCGACCAAAATGTTGATTGGTAGCACAGTGAGGCCAAGGCAGGCCAGGAAGATGGCAACGGAGCTTGTTGTCCAACTAAAGTAGTATGAAGTAATGACACTAGATTCCGACAGTAATATCTCCATAGCATATTTGAGCATGAAGTAGATCAACAGTTGAACCTGACGACCAGAACCGCATAACACAGCTCTCAGTAAGATAAAACTTCTATCGAGAATTCATCAAAATCATATATTTTTCCGAATGTTTGATGACGATACCTTAACAGATGGAGTAAGAAGTCGGTATGCTGATCTGAAAGAGTTTGCAGGTTTGTGAGAATCTTCTGGAGATTCTTCACTTTCATCACATTCCTCTTCATCTTCTGGCTTGATTCCTGAAGTAATCAGCAAGGGCATTCGAAGACCTTCTTCGACTCTGCTACTTTCTACTCTATCTGTCACTGCATCGACCAAGAATTCAATCGAACCTCATTAATAATTGTTAACAATCAGAAAAAGGGAACAGTTTTAATATGAATAATCTACAAAAGCATTACTTGATGTTGTTTCATTTGGATTGGTATCTTCTTCTTCCTCTGTGTCACGCAACGGCTCTCTGAATGAAATGCATAGCCATACCAAATAGAACAGCCAAGCCACAGCCATAACCCACCCCGGCAAAGTAGATTGGTTAAATGTTAACTTGTAAAACTTGAATTTGATTTGGAGTAAACCGGCAAGCGCAGGACCACAAGCCATTCCAAGAGCACTTGCACTCACAAAACCCGCCGATGCCTGCATTCGGATTCTCAAAGGCACACAATCGCTGATATATCTCCGGTTAACAGCTCTTGCTGATCCCAACCTGCAAATTTAAAGGGTTAAAATTAGTTGAAGAAAAGGTTTCCTCTTTTACACCATTTAAAGGAAAATGATTGTACTTTTAACTTACCCACAACAGAGACGGCCGAGTAATAGAAGCGCTATGGAATTGGCATCATAAGCCAACGCATACATCAAGTTTCCGATAAAGAGTGCGATGCTGCTAAACACAAGAGGTTTGAAGTAAGATTTGTTGGACCATGCGCTGAAATAAACCGATGAGAATACTTGAGCCACAGCCATAGATCCAATGACAACACCACAAACCGTTGCTGCAGCTCCAAGGCTCATCGAATAGTCGTCCGCTGTCGGAACGATGATATAAGTGTTGACCATGTACAAAAATGTGTTTCCTAGATTCAGGAGTAACGAATTAAAATGGTAAGTCCGCTCATCGATTGTATCCTCTGAAGGAGTCACCAAATCATCTTGCATGATAAGAGCATGCTGTGCCAAGAAGTTGAGGAAATTTGTCGAGAAGGTTAACTTGTCCACCGCAGTTTTTATGGCTTCAACCACTGGATCCTGCAGAATTTATGGAAAGGATTAGGATTTACGAGAGCTAAATATATGAGTCTGATTTGATATTTTTGAAATGTAGTACCTGAAGCGGAAGAACAGGTTGGTCATAAATTGAATAAAAGCTTCCTTCATTTTCTTGAAGCTCATGAAGATTGCGGGAAATTGCCCCAACAACAGCTCCTACACCCTACAAATTCCATACACAGAAAATTTCAGATGCCTAAAAAGAAGAGCCTATAGACAAAACCAGTGAAAGAGCGGTAAGAGAATTAATTTACCACATGCTTAAAGACTTGTTGAAGCTGAGAGTAAGGATGATTAGCGCGTGTCTTCACGTAATAATCAGCGAATCTATAACCAAACCGTTTGTCGAATTTTTTAAGTATCTTGCGCAGACCAACGGCGTTCAACTCAACGAATTTCAGGAGCTGGAGAAGGTCTCGTCCAACGTCTCTGTATGCTTCTCGTAGCTCGACAATTCTTGATATGTCAGGCTGCTCAAGTATAGCATCATGCGTTTCCCTCAATTTGGCTAATCGCCCTGCAAGCAACCCTTGTTGTTCCAACATGAAAAGGACAGTTGTCTCAATCTGCAAAACGATGAATGGCTTTCAATATCTAGAACAATTCAACATTATAAAGGAATTCTATCTGATCATCAGAATGGTTAATTTCTTGAATGTCTCATCTAATAAACAGAAACAGTGAAAAACAGCAGACTGCGACTACTCGTATATAGCCATACTTAACCTCGGAGATGCATGGACGATTACAATTCAGAGAGCGTAATACTCAAACAAAATCATCTTGAAATTGTCTATAACATACCTGAGTATCAAGCATCCTTGAGAAATCTTTGAGAACATGGCGAGGATGTTGAGATCCGCCTTGGATTTGTTCAGCATATTGTTTCACTTTCTTCTTCATCAATTTGTAATTGATGTAATAGCTACAAGGGGATCATCAAAACTTCATTAGCAACAAAAATCAGAGGATTAGAAGATAAATCAAAGTTTTGGCTGAAATCAAGAAGTCACAAGCAAATGCATACCCTCTCCATTCTTCGATTTGTTTCCGCTGCAAATATTTCCCAAAAGCCACCATCTTTTTATCGCATAAAGCAGAGCGCAAAGTTTAGATAAGAGCCTGAGAAGAATGTGGAAAGTAGAACAGCCTAATATCACTTATATATAGATTTTGCTTTTTGTCAACTTGATGAAGCATACAGAGAATGGGTTTGCGGCATACTGAAAATGAATTTAAACAAATACATAATAATAGCATCCAAAGTCAATAGCATTCACAAACAGTTTTTAAATCCCAAAATGGAAAGGAGAGAAAAGAACATTTCTTAAAACATTTTTGACATATTCAAAGCTCCTGAAGACTTAATTGACATTGAGATTTCAATCAACTAATCCACAACAAGCCTTACCCAATGGAGCTAACAAAATTGTCTAAACTCAACCTGATCATTACGCAAGCAATGTCACTTTTTACAGTTAATAATCAAGACAGTCAGAAAGAGAGCTATACAGGTAGATTCAAGAGGCATAGCCACAGGGCAGATTCAAGAGATTAACACAAACCCGTTTCAGGAAATAAAAGAAAGAGTCAAGGACAAAAAAAACAATATGACTCAAGCACGAAGAGATCATAAAGCATCTAAAAGGAATAAACCTCAAATGGATTGCGTGAATTGCTGAGTATCTGATAGTGCTTAAGCACAATACTAACTACAGTTATAGAAACAAAATCAAGAAAATTTCCAAGAAACACTTTTATAAAAAGATTTATAAGAAAGTCAGCGGCTAAATGGCTGGCTATCACTATAAGCCATGTGCTTAGATGATTATACGATCACGTAGAAATCACTATGGAATTAAATACCAAATCAAATCAAAACAGAATTTGAAGAAACAATCAAAATTCAGCTAATTTCTACTTTAAAACTCTTGCATTTCAATTCACCAAGATCCTTTGTTATAGTGAATGAGCCAAAACAGAGTAATATATATCAATAAAACTCATAATGTTTACCTCGTTCTTCTTCTGGTTCTTCTTGAATACAAAAAAAGGCTGATGTTTCCTTGAGATCTTATACAGATGAAATCTCTGAAAATAAATTAAAATAGTGCAAAGGGATCAGAACACACGAACTTAGCATTAAGGAAGGCCTACACAAAATAATAAAATAGTATAAATTAGATCTTAGTGGAGTCAATGATAAATGATTTCTAAAGCAGCCAACTTGCTTAAGTAGGCCAAATTGTTTTGCCTGTTAAAAAGAAAATTCCACACCTTGCAGACATATGAAAAACGCCAAAAAAAAGTTTTGAACTTTTTCTAAAATGGAGTCCAATCAAACCCTAGATTCTCTTTCTTTGTCAACTTTTTCCAAGTAATCAAAACCAAAAAATGCATTACCTAAACAGAGAAATTCGATTGAAAAATCCCAACTTTATGTACTGATTTCGAGATATAGATGACCATCAACGTAATTTACACCTGAAAAACAACAAGTCTGAATCAAAAAGATCATTCTTTTATGAGTTAAAATCAACGAAAAATGATCTGAGAAACACAAACCCAGAAAAAAGTTTCGATTTTTGCCAAGAAGAAGAATTTATATTAAACCCAGAAAGATAAGAAGAAGAAAAAGAGAATCTTGGAGAGAGTATCGGACTAATTTGCTCATAGTAGATCGCAGAATCTTATAACGAGTAATGTGATCATCAATCGGCAATCGCATTTACTCAGATGGACCCAATCATTGAGGGAAAAAAGTGGAAAAATCATATCGTCGTGGCTGTCGAAAGTCCTCAATTTGCATGTTTTTAATTAAAAGGGGTTTTACGTAACTCTATGTGAAACTTATAGGGGGTTTTGGGACCAAAAGCTGAAGTTTTGGGGTTAAACTGGAATAAACTATTAATTTCGGCCGCCTATGGATAAAAACTACTAATGTAACGTTGTTCTGATATTTTCTCTGTCGTTATGGAAAATTAAATGATTTAATTAAACGAATAATCCGAATTAGAAGACCAAAAAAAGATAACAAAAATAATTGGTTAACAAAAATGAGTATCACGTTGGTTGAACCACCGATTTAGGAAAGATAAAATATTGTAGGTAACTTATATAGTCTTCTACAAAAAGAAACATTGTATTGTAAGGTTACCAAACAAAATGAGTTAAATATGTGGCTGCGAAATATAATAATATGTTCCTCTTTATTCTTGGTAAGTTTTTTTTCGTCCAAAACGAGCTCTCATACATTTTGTCCCCACTATAGTTATATTTAGTGCAAATGTGCAATAATAGGAAAAAGTATCTGCCATGTAATTATTAAAATATTCCAACTAAAGTTATTTATGCAAAAAATAGACAATACAAATTGAATACGGACACATATGACATATTGAGAGTCCATGACATATGTCTTCTACAATATTCATAAAATGAAAGACAAATTTAATACGGACACATCTACACTATTAGAGCATCAGCAGTGGCAAATGCTGCTTGTATGGGTGTAACAATTTTTTTATTATTATCATTTAAAGCAAAAGATAAAAAAGAGAGAGAAAGTAAGAGAGAGAGAGAAAAAGACTTGCATCCGAATGCAACTTTGCACCCGAGTGTAGCTTCTTACACAACTTTTCCAATATTTCACAATTAAAAAATACACACACCCCACACAAACTTGTACCGTTGTGACTGGTCTTAGTCTATTACGACTCCATGCCTTTTCATTTATTTATCATATCATACAAATCAAATTGAAGTTGTATAATACTTTTTTTTTTTTTGATAAAAATAACCCAATTATATTAACATGTACAATTTATACATGTACATGAACAATATATAATTTATAAATTAAATAAATGTTTTTCTATAATTTTTTGTTTACGATTTCATTTTTTCATTTTTTTTTTTTTTTTTTTTTTAATATTTTTTCATTTTCTTAATATATAGTTTTATCTATAATATCATATTTATAACGTCTAAACCGTCTAAAATCGGTTAGATTCCAATTAGACGTTTTAGGTTAGACGTTAAGTCACCATCCGCTTAACGTCTAACGTTTTTTCTGAACATTGCTCTGCCCGAATCTATTATCTTGTTAGTATTTTCAACTAAAGATACATGTATATAACATGTTACCAAAAAAAAAAAAGATACATGTATATTACTATTGGACGGTGTCAGATTTTCTCCTGATTTTAATGGAAGTAAGTAAATAAAATATACTGTATTAAATAACTTAGTGTAAAGCATAATTTGCTAAGGTTGCCTTCATTACGCGTCTACTTTCTAGCGGTCACCACAATTAAATGTTATCTTTTGATTCGCTATGGTTCTCCGATACATATGTCTAGTGGCATTATGGGTTCACGACATGTGTCTCTATAGTCTATAGTCTTAGACACCAAACTCCACTTTTGATTCACTGCCATATATAAACGGCCGAAAAATTAACAAATAAAAAAGCTAAAGATAAAAAACAAAGCAAGTGCACTTGTGGACCTGTGTAAGAGAGTATGAGACGATGACATGCAAATCTCTAGAAGCTAAAGTGATATCTAGAATCTAAATAAATCATTTTTGGTTATATTTTGATATTCACTGCTTCATCATTCTCAAAAGAATGTATACTACTTTCTATTCCTATCATGTTTTACAAAAATAAAAGTTATAGGTGTTTGATTCATGCTAATATTGAGATACTATTTTCATTACAGACTACTCAGAATTGGTGAAAATGGTGTCTTCTTCTACTAGAGTGGCCAGCTTTTGTAACATACCTAGAAAAAATTAAGAGAATCAAAGAAAATTTTGCGGTTGTTTTTTATCTCTTTTATCTCTTGACGAGTAAATATTAAAACGGATAAACTTACATGCCTTATTTGTGTTTAACTCCAATATAAAATTTATGTAAACAATGTTCCATTGGATTGGTTTATGGTGATTGAGAACAATATATTATTTATTACCTCGAAACAAAACTTCCATATCCTTCAGGACAATGATTTAATGCATTCATCAACAAAGAAAAATAATCGAGGTATAAAATTAACAACCACATGTTTTGTTAAGAAAAGAAAAGAAAAAGTATGACCTTTTTATAAAATTGTGGTTTGCGACAAGGAGAAAAACACCAACACAAAGAAAAAGAGTAAATTGTGGTTTCAAAAGTTAATGTTTTTTGTTTTTTTGCTTATAATTGTGGTCTGCTTCTTTTATTTTCATATTTTTTAATATATTTTTCTGTTTCTTTTATTTTATTTTCATTTTTGGGTAAATTTTTTGGCGTTTTAAGCATAAATGCTGATACTACTTGGGACCAAATGTCTCTAAAAAACGAAAACAAGTTATTGGGATCAATGGATCATAACCAACAAAGATCAGAGCATAATCGATAGATAAAAGAAGTGGGTTACTCAATCCAAATAACCAAACGGAAGTATTTGGTTTCCGTTTAGATATTAAACCGGATTTGATATCTTGAAGAATTTTAATCTATCAATAGAAATTATTCATGTCCCACGACACGATCATTAAGATTTAAGACATTAAAAATCTACACGAGAACCAATCTCAATTCTCAACCCTGAAAGATCATAGCATAACCAAAGAAATAAAAAGTCCTATTAATACTTTTTTTTTTGTAATCTTAGTTTGATCCCACCCGTTTTAATGTTCGATCCGACCGGGAAAGTAACAAATTGGAAATTTGAATCTTGTTTATGCGTGGGAAAATTTTGCACATTTGATAGAATTTTTTTTTTTTTTGGGTGATTTCTTCCTATTCAATTCGGTAAAACATAGAAATATGGATATCATTGTTTAGTGATGATAAAATTTGATTAAAAGACTTAATTATATAATTTGTAGTCATAATAATGATGTAGAAACATAAAAGGTGTAGTCATTTGATGAAATCATTTCTATAATCCTCAGAAAACATCTGTTTCTTAAGGTTCATGATTCAATCATGAGAAAACGATATTCTATAGGGACCATAACCGATCTAAACCGGGAAAGATCGTAGCATAATCGGAGAGATCATTAAAGAACTGTATAAGAATTAATCTTAACCAGGAAAAAAACAGAGCATAACCAAAGAAATTAGCTTTGATAAGAAAAAGAAGTTTTCACTAAACTCGTAAGGAAAACGAAAGATGTTATAACTTCTATGAATCAAAAGCGAATTGCATGAAAACCAATCTAAACCGGGTAAAGAAAGATCAAATTGTATGAGAATAGAGAACACTAAACAAGGAAAGACAGCATAACCAGAGAACTAAGTTTCACTTCTCATGAGGAAAACCGGAAGATGTAATAAGGATCATTAGCAATTGCATGAAGAAGGATCTAAACCGGGTAAAGATAGAACAGAAACATAACCGGATATATCATAGTCAAACCGGATATTTCATAGTTTACAAACAGAAACAGAAACAGAACAGAAGCCTCCTTTGCCAGCTTCTCGTTGCTGCTTCCACTAAGTAATTAACCTTTAAGCCTTTAGGTTTAAGGGCAAAAGGTATTACATAGTGAAAGGAGCAAAAAGAAGCTTAGAGCAAAGCCAAAAGGCTTTTCCCCTATATCTATCTAATCACTTTTAAAAACAGAAATACACACAACTTCCTACATTGTTCGATATTATATCGCAGGAAAGACAGTCCTCTTTTTCCTTTTACTTGACTGTTTGCGGGTTTTCGGAGAGCCTACCGGACTGGAGGGTACCATTTTTAAGATACTTTGACTTGTATAAGTTCATTTTCTTTGGGGCAATGATCTTTGTTGCTCCCAAGACACACTTGTGGTATGAAAAGTCTTCGAATGTCCCGTCTATTCTTACAACCTCAAAGCAACGAGAATCTCCGTGCTTCGATTTAGCGACCTGTAAAAGAAACCGGGTTAGGATCTTTATGTTTTTTAAAGATTCTGAAACATATGAGTTTTTTTCTAATATGATTTACCCGGATTCCTTTAAGGCCTGGTCCAATTTTCTCAGCTCTGTTGGGGTGCAAGTGCAGAACCATCATCACAAGTTCTTCGTCCCTCCCATTCAATGGATCATTGATCTCGTAACTAACAAAGATAACGCGGTTGAATTTGCATCAGCCAAAAGGAAGAATCTTTACGGTTCTTTGAACAGAAAAGTTGGAGAAAAATTGTTTTTTTCGCCTTACCTGGTGAGTATGCGTTTCAGTGACTGGGAAAGCTTCTCGATGTTTTCCCATGTAAAGATTGTTCTAAGCCGTGACATAGAAATCCCTTTCCCATCTAGTACCTTGATACCTTTCAGGAATGCGCTACCTAGCAAGTCGAATGGCTGGACCGTGACTTTGTCTGATTTAGGCGCAGAGTTTGTCTTTGGAGGTGTACTACTCAGAATGTCATACACATTTACCGGTGTAGTGAACCCGTGAACCTGATCCATGCATAAAGACACTAATTAGACCACTGAAGTTGTAGTCGAAACAGATAAAAAATGCAGTGTTAATTTACCTTTGGCGAAATGATGATCTCGAATTGATCTCCAGTTCCAAAACCAGGAACTTTTCCCCAAGCTAGGGCATCGATAGACCCTTGAAGATCGTCTCTGACACCTTCCTTAGCAGCT